CGCGATTGGGCTTGGCAACCTTTCGCATTCTACTAGCGCTGCCCTGGCTGCTGAGATTTTAAACTACAATGGTGAAACTAACTTCGAGCTCAGTGGATTCTCAGGTGACGAAGTAAGGCATCTGAAGCTGTTCCGGCTATATCTGTCAGAAAAGCAACATATACTTAGAGTTTCCCAACGACTTTTTTGTGTTGCATTGCGTAGAATATCCCCAGGCGGCCATCATATGGTTGCCAAAATATCCCGAGTTGAACACGCGCAAACAAAACTAGAAGAATTGGGGAAATCCATATTTGGGATCCAATCTGGAAAATGCGTCAACGCCATTTCTATACAGCAGTGCCTTGAAGCCGTTCGAACCCGAATATGTAACTTAGAAACGGGGAGCGGATGGCTTCTTCCTGAAGAACCAAATGTGGGAATTGAGCTGATTTGGCAAACGAACGTCCTCGAGGAGCTAAACCAAATTCTTCAATTCCTGGTGCTCCAGCTTCAATTATCGAAAACCATCCCATCTGCAGAGCTTTTTCTTTCTTGGCTCCGTTTGATGGCCGATTATGATTTTCTCGAAATGCTACGTCCAGTAAGCTCTAACCCAATCAACGTGTTCCTTTCATGACTAACTAGAAATTTTACAGGCTACGGAGGAACAACAAGTCATTCTTGGCCCGCTTCACGCTCTCATTGCGATTGCGACTCTCGCGTTTGTCAGGCTAAGGGAATCAACCTCATACTTTGAAACGGCATCTTACTTGTCTCCAACACCCGAGCCTACAACTAGCGAAGCCCCTTTTTTTATGTCTCGCGAAAATATCGGCGAAATAAACGAAATATGCTTGAAGGCAGCCAATGCCGGCTGTTTAACTGCGGCGCCTATGATTTTTGCATTCGGCATGGTTATGTTCGCGGTAAGGGAGATTGCGTTCTGCACTAAGGAGGAGCGTGAACTTCAGCAAGCCCAGCACGCTGTAGATTCTTTCAATAGCAACGCGCCGTCATCGTCTCCATCGCGCGCTGCAGAGCAATCCATTTTTGAAGATATCTTTGAAAAAGCTCGTAACCCAGCTTTCGATGACGACTTCGTAAAGCTTCTTGTGACGAGCTCCGTAGATAAATGTCATGTATTTGACTTTATCTCTGCTCTTGTCGAAAGCCTTAGGCCAATTTCTGGTGCTGGGGATGGCGGCATGCTCAGTCGTTGGGTAAGGGTGGAGCTCCTGGATTTAATCCGTGCGAGTGTCGAACATTTGGACTATATTCCTGAAGTAGTGTCGTCTGTCTTGTGTGTTATCTCTGGCCCTACCGATGATTGCAATCAAATCTCCAGCACAGAGTGGAGTGATGCTTGCGATCCGAGATCTATATTTATTCAAGATCCAGTACTCATTGATAGAATTTTTCGCGTGGCCAAATCCCGATTTCCGTACGAAGCTATTAATTTTTTGAAGTTGTGCCGAGCACTGTCTGGTTCTAGCGTTGTGGACGATGATGGTTTACCATATATCGCTCAGGAACTAGAGGGCATGGAGACCTATACTCAAGTCGTAGCTCCTGGCTTCCAAGGGTACCAACCGATCCGGGAAGATGAAAATGCCAATTTCGTTAGCCTAATCCAGCCACTTCCAATGCAGGAAACAGCCATGTCGGAAAGCCCTACTGAATATGAATCGACCTCCAATACCGTCGTTCTTACTGAATCTTGTGTTATTCCGCAAGAGGCCTTAGGTCAGGTCGTCAACGAATCAAAGCCGGCGGTAATAATGTGGCATCATGACTACAATTGTCTCGGCTTCCTCGGAATATGGTTGGAGCAAGCTACTAACAGTCGAAGGTCCGACCAAATACCAGATGAGGAGATAATCGCGGAAATCGTAGGTCTTTTCGCCGACCTAATCACATCTGCACAAATTAATTCGAAGCGCAATGGCACCGAGTCAGTGGCTAAAAGGATTCTCGAAATGGCTAGCGACGGACTCGACCGTCATGGGGATATCATTTCCGTTATTTTCGAAATTTTTGAACGGAACCTGCAAAATACAATCAGCAAGAGAGGTTCCAGCCGCAATCTACAACCAGTTATATCTTGCCTTCGCTTTATAAACGCCCTTATAGCCGTTATTCCGGGCCGTGTATGGCCCTTCCTGTCTAGAAGCAGCTTTATTGGCTCTGATGGGAAAGGTGGTATGCTAGTCACTATTGTCTCGTCTATTGAGGCTGTCTCTGGGGACTTCAGTTTCCTTCAGGCTGCCGTTCAAATGTTTGACCTCCTGGTTGATGATGTCATTAATCATTCTGGAGTTCGTCGCTCCGCAGGGCGGTTATCCGCCAAATCAAATCATCTCACTGAGTTCACTGCAGGCATACCGCCCTATATCATGCGCAGCTTTTTATTGGCCCTGGTACGCGTGATGGTCGAAGCTTACAATAATAACACGACGTGGAGATATAATGACATCTGCCAACAGCTTAAAATCAACACATCTCTTGCCCTCACTATTGATAAAATCCTATACAGTATATATGCGATCGATGACACTTTCGACCTAGATTCTAAGTTGGTGGGGGTATTCTCAAGCTCAGCAGCATACATACTTAACGTTCTTCGGCCGACAACAGTCGAAGAGTTGCCTTTTAATCCACTTCTCCGTACTATCCTTAGCGGTCTTCAATATTCCAGGTCGAGCAGTGATCTTCGAAACCTCCTGCTTCATGCGTCGCACATCCAGTCTGCCTTGGCCCTTTCAGAACGATTGGCTCAAGCAGGAAGATTATTAGGGTCTCCAATGTCGATGCTAGAAAACCAATTATTCAAAGCGTCACCAGTGCTGATAAGACTATACGCTCTATCCTATGAATACCAACTCCCCGTTGTTTCTCTCCTTGAACTCCTGATATCGTATGCAGCTACAGATTCAAATCGTGAGCCGCCATCTGTCCTTGGGCACCTAGGAGCCAAGTCATCCAGTAACTTTCTCCATTGTCTTTCGAAATTCGATCGCCCGTTCAAGAATCCCGCACTCTACGTTTCAATATGGGATCTACTTTCCACGATAATTAGCAAACGCCAGCAATGGCTTGCAGTATTCTTTCTTACAGGTTCATCTGCCAGAGATTCCTTAAGAATGGGTGACAAAGGCAGCTCTTCGACAATGATTGGGCAGCCGTTCTTGGGCATTTCTCTCGATTTGTTAGCGAAAATCGACACAGTTCAACCTCAGATAGCAATATCTGCACTAAATTTTGTTGCAAGGGCCCAGGAACACTGGCTATGGGCTACACCACAGATTAAAAGTCACTCGGAATTCTTCCCAAACATAGTGAATTTCGTCACCAGCTTACAGATTCGCAAGTGCCCTCCACTGGATCAGTGCCTCAATACGAAAATCGCATCGTTAGTAGCAGATATATGCGCCGTATATTTACATAGTGCCAAAGAATCACGAGATTTAACGTTCTTCAAAACGATCATCCCTCTGATCTCCTGGTTTTCTGACAATGCGGTCAATGTGGATGGTTACAATGCATCTCTACACTCAAATCTCAGAAAGAACTTTGAAATGAAGTACAATGGATGTAAAGCCGTCTCCATGAAGCGCACTGGGCTCACACGCCCAGAACTCGGGGAAAATTATTTTTACGACGTGGAGTTGGGAAGTAAGCTTTTCGGATATGATTTTGCCTGGAACGGGACCCGTGATCAAAGCTTTTTGGAGGAGGTCAAACGAGCTAATCTAAATCTGTCACTTGTTGAAGCCCAAATGGTATGCTTCTTGTATTCCCCAGCCTAAACTCACTATTCTAATCCGTTATAGAACCTTCTTCAAAGTTGGAAATTTCTTGCTATAGAACATTGCGCGGATTTTATGCTGGACCGAGAAATCCAAAAATCGATGGCACGTGTTGTTCGCAGCTGTCTCCTTTCAAATTCACGGACAACACCGGACGAAAAGGTCTTTTACAAAGTTCAGCAAATCCATGCAGAATTTGCCCTTGCTCTGCTTCAGCGGCTTAACGACGCCGGCTCTAGGGGGGCTGAAGTCTTTGGGTTGCTGAGTGTTGCATGGGATGCTACGCGCTTTCGAAATCCATCGTACGAAACTGCGTTACTCAATGGGGATACAGAATACTACGGAGTTATGTTGAACATCCTCTTTCTCTCTTTGCAGTTCCATGTTGCAGGGCCGTCTCGATCTGTGCCAGAAGCAGTCAGCAAAAAGCCTGAAGTGTCGTCAGATTTGTCAATCGTTCTTGAAATCGTCAAAGTCATAGTTGCACAGGGCTTTCGATCTCTTACAACATACTTACACGACGAACCGGAAAAGTGCTCTCCTAGAGATTTTGCTATATTAACAGCAATATTACAAACATGTCTGCGAGTGAAAAATTCAGATCGCATTTACGAACAAGCCGCTTTTCACCTCGCCGATAGCGACACTCCCCGCTATGCAGCCACATTATTTTCCTGGGCCTATCAGCTTACAGTTGAGGGAGATCCAGTGTACGGCGAGCTCAGTGTTTTATTCCTTCTGGAACTTTCCTGTATTCCTATGATGGCTGAGCAGATGGCAGCGGACGGTATTTTGGTGAAATTGTCCACTTTCCGCCTCACCGATGTCCTTCGTCAACCGCACGGATGCGGCCCATTCAATCCAATACCCAGGCTATTTGCCATCTGGAATTCAGGATTCCTACCTCTCTGTCTCAACCTCCTTTACAGTGTTGTTCGAGCTGCTCCGGAAGTGGCGGCATTTCTCAACCAGTTTGAAGGGCAGTTGCGCCGAGCGTCTGCTTCATTTTCCTTCGGGCAACCCACCACAACATCACCACTTGCAAGTAGTCACCTCAAGTCAAGCCAACACGTGAAAAAGCTATCGCTAAGTATGGCTACTGAAGCATGTTCGTTAGCTCTAATATCCCAGATTATCAACAAATTCCGGGATGCTGGCGCGAGTACTGGCGTGGATGCCCAAAATATCCAAGAGCTCAACTGGGACGGGACGCAAGTGAAAGATGATATTGAATCACTTCTTGAGAAGCGATCAGTCCTCCGCTCGCGGATTGTTGCCACAAATGAAAAGGAGCTTGAAATGTCCCGGCGAGAACCACTCGACCGCAGTACCGGCTGCCAAAATCAGCTGGAAGAAAAAATTGTGAAAGAATTACAAATGACTGTGATGTGTCTGGCTGGTAGAGAGGCAGTTTAAACAAAACCCTTTCTCCAACTACAAACTTTTCGGCATTTTTAAGCGATCGAGGCGTTATAAATGATTGTTTGGACCATTGATTTAATTCTAAATGTTCTTAAATATACTTTATCCCAGAGGAGAGGTTATTTAACCCATTGGCGCTAACATTTTCATAATGATATAGAGGTTTGCGGGCCATCATCTTGTTGCAGGATAGACCCCAGCACAAAAATGGTACCCCCGATAAACATAAGAGGCACCCACAACAGATTCATACAGATTCCACTATTTTTTTTTTTTCTTGAGCATACCCCGGCAGTGTTTTATCTATGATGCACAGTATTCACATAGTACACAAATTTACGAGGATTATTCTATATAAACCGATCCCTTCTAGCGCGGCATCTCTATCAAATGTAGGTGTATCTGCAATTCTGTAAGGATAGATATATGCCCAGATTTATGGTGCAATGCCTGATACTCACTCTTTAACCATCCATTGATAATGATACCGTTTGGGTTTCATCGCTTCGCCTAAACAAAGGAGATCGATACTCATATGTCCGGTAATGATATGTTCTACCCTGTGGCGCTGATGGGTTCAACTAGCATTCTATCCCTCTATCCCTAACCCTACATAGCCACTAGGTTGAAAAGAATACTCTCGCATCGCCCCTCTTTCCACCCGCCCCAAACACGCAAAGTTCTCAGTGAACTCCTAGCTCTTTTGTCTCTGTTCGCCCATCGCTCCTATATCATTCTGCTTGAGATTGGCCATTGTATTTGTGTCGCCTTGATGTGTTTGACGTGGCTGGATTGGCGACTAATCAGACTAACGTCGGCGTCTTTTCATTGGCCCGCTTTTGTTCCTTGGAGTGGCTTCTGGCGCAACATTTCGCGAATTTGCAGCAACCTGTTGACCCTCCTCCTCCAATAGCGACGTAAAGCTTGAGCCTTGTAGGTTGACGCCTCCAATTTCTCGGGAGAGACTGGTAGTTTCTGTAGGGCTCGGTCCATATATCTTGGGCTGTAGTTGCGGCTTAGTTTGTACCTCCGACTGTGGCGATGGCCCGAAGTCGATGTCGTTTGGCAAGTCATCGATCACCGAACACAGCCTTTCGAAATGGGAGGGTGCCCAGTCATCGTAGACACTGATAACAAACTTGTAAGATGTCCACTTATCTCTACCCCAGGTTTGTGATGTCAAAGCTGAGGATAGGATGGCGGTAATAGGTAGTCTTGTCTCCGTTGATGATGGGATAGTGGCCATAAATCCTCACTGTACGGTGATCGTGCGAGATCGAAAAGCCGAGGATCTCCTGATGCACCTCCTGCTCCCGTTTGGCAAGCTTAAAAAGCTCAACAACTCCTCGCACGGCAAGTGTCATGCTGTGTGCATTTTGTCGATCTGCGGTATCAAGTGACGACTTCGCACACTTCACTTCGGATGTGAAAAATGGAAAGTACATGGAAGTCGTACCCATAAAGAAAGACGTATCTTCGAAGTCACCAATAAAAGGAGCCAATTTGTACAGTTGATCGTCTGTGAAAGCCTGCTGCGGAAACCCGACTGCATAGTCAGGCTGTGGTCGGGGTAGCCGAAGTTGCCGAGATTGCCTAAGTTGGGGTAGTAGCGGCGTTGGCAAAGGCTGGGCTTCGTCGAAGGAAACTGAATTATCCCAGTCTTAATTCACACTTTCGACAAGATGTTTGAATTTAACACAACCGAGATCAATCGCATCTTCAGCTGACGGGACAATGAGATCAGCAATTTTCCGAAGGATGGCCGTCTCATTCTGCCTTTGTAGCCTTTCACAAGTTGACTCAAACACTTCGTCGTCGAACTTTGTGCCTTTGGGAGCCTCGCGATTATTATTCTCAAGCAGTTCTTTACAGACCATCTTACAGGAACGGGAGATACCATTTTCATGATTTCCCATAAAGCTGCCCTTTGCGTTCAGGAGTTTCTCACAGTTTTTGTCACTATAAGGATTGCTTTTCGTTCCTCGTGAATTCAATTCGCTTCGCGTCTTCAAACTGGTGTTTGATTTCGTACGATGAAGAGACTTTGGTCTTGCAAACAAGCGCTCCATGGCCTTGGAGGGTCCCTTAGGCCACCGGGAGTGTTTCACCCAGTATTCAACGGAGGGGTTGTTTGTTCGTGGTTGCTCTAGGAACGGCTCCAGGATATCCGACGAATAGTCGTGTTGGGGCCATTTACGTTTGAGTGAACGCTCTCGCGGTGATGCCTCAGTACTCTTGAGGGGCTGAGGAAAATCATTTTCTGAAAGTAAATGGAAGGACGGGGTATCTTGCCTGTTCGATGGCCTTGCTACTCTGTAGGGGCTCTAAACTCCTCTCTCCTTTGTTAGCTCTACGCTTGTCGCGCTCGATAAGACGAGGGCTTCTTCGACAGCGAGAATTCGGCTGTTGTGTATGAACATTTTGGGAGCCTGTCCCCGCTTTTAGATTGTAGCCTAAAGACAGCTTGGGATGAACGATAGTTTAAGCCCTCACAGCGTTGCTCCAACGCTCTCTTACCCACGAAAC